TATATAGCAATTGATCAAATGAGAACACTTAAAAGATTGACAACGCGAGAACAATTCTGGACCAATCAATATACAAGGGTATATTAGTAATTCTATATTTTAATTAAATTAAAATAAAATAAAATTCAATCAATTTCCCTTCAATTTAGGATTAGTTACCAAAAAACAAAAAAATATTCTATTTTTAATTTTACTTATTAATGGAATATAAAAAACAGTTTTACCAAAATTTAATTTAAAAATGAATAAAATCTATTTATTTCCTTGAATTTCATACTTTTTTTTTCAAAAAATGAATAGATGTTCAATCCCAAATCAAAACACTTGTATTCAAAAACGAAATTTTTCTTCAAAAAATCTAATACGACTCCAATCACAAATGAATACACATCAATTTACAAATAATTCAATGCATTTTTTCATCAAATGAAAATAAAAATAGTGTAAAAATTTTCATTTTTTAAAAAAGTGAATACCTCTAATCATAAATAAATACACTCATTCACACATGAATACAATGTTATTCGGAAATAAAAACAACCATTCACACATGAATATTATTCAAAAATAAATACACCGATACTCATAAATAAATACAAAATAAAAATAGTGTAACAATTAACAATACCTCTAATCATAAATAAATACACTCATTTATACATGAATACACTACTATTTATAATTAAATACACATTCTATCATAGATGAATACATCAAAATATAATATAGTTTTTCATTCTCCTCTAACTCAAATTCTTCACCTTTCATATTCTCAAACAATTCCAAAGGACCGTCAGAAAAACTCATATTCAAATACACATAAATCATTAAGTTTGATGAACCATATCTCTCTCACAAAATTCATCAAATAGCTTCCGTTCACAACCTTTTCCTGTAAACCTAATTCCAGGTCTAAACGAAAATGATCAATTACAAACCAAAATAATGGGTATACTCCATATTAACAAAACCAAAACAATAAATGATATCTATATCACCTTATTTTTAGAAGCAAATAAAGAAAACCAATTTAAAAATCATTATAAGAAACTCGAAACAGGAATATATTGTTATTGTACCTTTATATGCATCTCTTTCAGCCTCAAAATCCAGAGGACATATCAAAAATTAAGAAAATTAATAGGTTTCACTGTTAGAGAAAAGAAGCTTCATACTCTATTACATCTTCATCAATGAATAACATACAAAACTGTATATACAAAAAAAATCCAGGTGTAAGAAGGCTAGCTATATTACATATTCACCAATGAATAACATACAAAATATCTGAAGTCCAGTGCATTGTAATCACAAACGAAGAAGGCACAAAATTGTATATAAGATTGAGAAATAACACAAAAAAAAAAAATCAATAAAAAATAAAAAAAACGAGCAAAACTATATGAGATTGAGTTTTTGTTTCGAACTCTCCAAATTTTATCAACAAAAATAAACTACAAAAAATAATTTAAGAAGGCTAGCAATCAATCATAGTTAAGTTTTTTTTTATCAAATCTTTAATATTTTGGAAATTACACACACCATTCATTAATGACTTTAGCATTATCATTGATTCTTCGTATTTAACTGAACTAAAACCAAAGGTCAAAAATAAAATGCACCTTCTGTTTTTTTTCTTCGTCTTTTTGTTCTTCTTTTTGTTCTTCTTTTTCTTCAGTTTGATTGGCTTCACTTCCATTTCTTGGTCTTCTTCAATCATATCCTGCCACATTTAGAGTCTCACTTAAAGATATAAAAATTGACAATGAAATATGAACAAAGATGATGTCAGCTTTTGACTTTTCAGAAGTAGATAAAGAAAGCATCTTATAGTCAGCAAATGAGTTTACATGTTGTATTCTCCTTTCTGAATTTGAAGCATTGCCTACATACAACAGCTTACATACATAAACCACGAGATGATAGATACTACACCAAAATATGTATTTTCAATGGGATGAGGATGATTAGTTGCTCTAACAGTCTCTTTGGCATTTTTCACAGCCAATTCCACAAGTTTGGGATTAATAGAAGATAATCCGCTAGGTTCCTGTGACTTCCGTTCTAGAAACTTAGCTAATGCAGCAGCTTTATTAGTCTTCATTAGTCCTCCTGGATGGGCCAATCTGCAAGAATTTTTTTTTTCCAATTGTCAACATAATAACTCAATCCAAGTATCAAAAGGCAACTAAAAGAGTCCTACTACTTTGGCTGAATATTCTGTTACTCATATTCAAGCCAAAGATACCATTTTTCCTAGCATTTGTATAGAACTAAAAAATTAGAAAAGACTAGGTGATATTAATCAGAAACAAACCACAACTTCCGACCACTAGGGTTGTCGTCTGCTCGTTGGGCCACCCGATTACCACCGCAATATGCCTCAAACATCGCTGCTTCACCATCTCCCTTCTCGATCAGACAAGGATCGAACATTCCCCAATCGATTATGCCTCCCGATCCCTGCTCCGTTCGTGAATCCTGTTTCCTTTTCCTTTTTTTGGCTTCAACGATTCCAATCGATTCCCTTTTGGTGGTGGATCAATGATGAAGGGTGGAGGCATACCTAGGTTTACAGAGAGAGATGAAGAGAGAGACGGGAAATGGAAGGAAATAAATGAGTGATTGAGGAATTATAGGAATTAACTATCGGTGGTAAAGGTCCAATTACTATAATACCCTTATCA